ATTAAGCAGACATGCAAATCGTCCAATATTTTTGCCTTCAAAGGAGATGGTAAGACCGCGCGCTGCGCGACAACTAACTAGGTAGCCGAACATTCCGGTGGTGCGCAGTTGACAAAGTGACACTCTGCTGTAGTCGATATGTTTATCTCTTTCTAGCGGTCCGTTGTACATTCGCCGGCCGCGTAGCAACAGAATCGTCCGGAGACCCGCGCTTGTGGTCGCGGCCGCGACGCCGCAACTGTATGGACGAGTTGAGCGTCATTCCATTGAAATTCAAGGGAACGCTAAACCGAGTCCTCCCTTACCTTGCAGAAGGTTCGCCGTGGCCTTAAATGCTTGAGTGCTCAGGGTGCTACAATGTCCCTTCCCCCTCCAAGTTGATATTTGCCTAACCGTTGAAGCCGATTGTAGATTGTAGTTGAAGTTGATGGGCAGGGACAAAAGGGTTAATGTGGACCGCCGCAAATCTGTCGCTCCAATCGACAAAATCAATTAATGCCGCGCCCATCGAAAAATTGCCGCGTTACGGCGCCGCGCAAGTAACCGCGCGCGACGGCGCCACTCCCGGACGATTCTGTTGCACGCTCCCCGGTCGAGTGTGTCGGACACTATTGATAGGTAAAGTGCGGTGGAGACGGGTGTAACCACACATCCTGCATTTTGGGTGTCTGCGTCTCGCTCGTCCTCGTGCTAGCCTCCTATTTCCGAGTCTGTTTTCTCGCCTTGACGCACAGGCCTTTTAGGCTGTGTCTCCTGGTGCCGCAGCTTCGACTAAAGTTGTACCCGAGGAGAAGTGCCTTTCATTCAGTTTTCTCGGCACTTTCTTTCTCTTCTATGGTCCTGCCACCTCAGGTTTCATGTACAGTGGAAAATATCACAATAGATCGACAATGTGCTTCATCACCTGCTTCAATAACAATGCAACGGATTTTCGTTCGAAGAAGAGTTCGCATTTCATTCGTACTCATTGTCTAGCAGTGATTTAACCGCAACATCTTCCAACTGTGCGATCTGCCTACAAAAATTGCAGGTGTCGTTATTGAGAGCACCAAAATTCGCGGTACTCCGTCCCCTGCACATTTTGCGGTTGGAAATGCAAATACGTGGTATCTGCATGTGCTCGAATCCAGGACCCGTGGTTCCGTCCAATCTTCCAATCAATTTCTATCAGTAATCCTTAGATTTCTTATCTACTATTATTACAGTGGTGATTTCGAGGTGAACACTGATACACTATTCCCCACTAATGGACATGTCGTAACTGCAGACTTATATTGAAGTGGTACGAGGTAACGACAGTAGGAAAACAAGCGTTCCTTCCTAGAGTGGCGGCGCGAGTCAGAGGCGCGCGACGAGCGCGATGGCGGCGCGGGGAACCCGACAAGGGGCCCGTCGCGCAGCAACGAGGCAGGGTCAGCGACCAGCCGCAGCGTGTAATGTAGTGATTGCGCGCCAAGTTAAATAGAATGTACCACTGTATGTCCCACACCGCAGATAACGCGCTGCGACGCTGACACTGCCTTCTTGCCGCGCACATTTTGTAGCGTTTTCGGGCTGGCCAAGTCGTGATTCGTCGCGTGTGATATGAACTTACACAGCCGAGAGAAAATGGAGGAAGAAAAACCCTAATCACAACAAGAGCAACAAAGGCAGATCTTGAATCAAACGCGCGTTTTGCGACAGACGCAGGTAATGCACGCGCCGCGCTGCAAGCCCCACGATCAATACTTGTCGGGGCTGCAGCACCGCCGTCGACGAAGAGTTGTTCAATTCCTGCGTACTGTGAAGACTACCTCTGATTTCCTATTGAACCCATATCCATAAAATCCGTAAACTATAGAATGCGAAGAAAACTTTATTAATCAGCACAATATCAATGAGATGCAGACGTTGTTCCAAAGTTGCTCGCTATTGACCAACATGGTCTGGAAGAGGGCCTTTGGGTAAGATGAAGACAGCCAGCACAGTTGTGCTTTGTGCCGGATCGTTTTCTAGGTAAGGAGTAACGCCGGCCGATGATCGGAGTCATGGTTTGTAGGAATCAAAGCACCTCTAAATCGGATGCACGTCGCTCAAGATCTCACGTCTGTCTAGGTCTGCAATTACGACATGTCCGACCGCAGGAATGACGGTGTAGTGTATCCACATTTTCCCATGATGGGTAAACGGTAATTTTGAGCCGATTTTTGGCGCTTCTGTTCTCAAGCAGTTCATATGGTGGCCAAGTCCGTATATGAGAGACAAAAAGAGTTTAGCTAGGCATCCTCGAAACACCATAACATATTGACGCAAACCTAATTGATGTCTACGCGAGGCCTCGTCATAGTTTTTTAGGGCAGTCCACAATTACTTCGGTAAATATACGGATTATTTTTGATCACCTTATCCCAAAGTTTATCTATAAGCCCGCGTTCACACTTCGCAACTCCGGATATTAGGTCAGTAGGAGCGTAGACAGTGCATTCGAGCGTATCTAATCTTTTCAGCGCAATATCCTCCTCTACAACTATCCCAATGCTAACGTGCACTTTCATAATCTTCGAAGTCGCGAACTATGAACGCTGGTGGAACAAGATCGAAGGAGAGTAGAGCCTGCTCCACCAAGAATCAGCTAGTGGTAAGTATAATAGTGTGTGAGCGTCATTATTGATTTCCTGAGAGCGGGCAAGGCGGGCTAGCAAAGTATAGCGATTCCGCCTCATGAGAAATCACAACCTACTTGTTGTTCCCTTCACATTATCTTCAATTTTATTTATTTACCTATCTATTTATCTATCTATTTATCTTATCTTGACTTTTTTACTATGTATTTTCACTATTTCAGTGATTTTTCACTTCAACGGCAGTTATCCAGGCTTTATCGATACCTTTTGTGAAACACTTGGAACTTTTTATTCAGTATTGGAACATATGGAACCCTGTTGATTTCATTATTCCTGCACGTTTTCATGTACAGAACGGTTTTGTTTGAAACGCATTGTGACACCCGTTCTTTATTCTCTTTATCACATTTTTTCTAGACAGTGGTAAACCGAGGTCTTGCAGAACCTGTAAGGCCATCAGGACTATGGTCTCAGCAATCCCCATTACTTAAAATTTTGACTGATTCATCCGAGTATATCATCATTGTAGGAAGCTGCGGCATACAAATCAGAGTCCAGACTATTTCTTGCACTTCTGTCACTCTTCCTGTCAGCGCCGCCCAGCCAGAGTTCTCTTTTCACGGGTCTGTTGTCCGAAGGGGGGACATCGGGGGCTAACGAAACAAAACACGTCAAAAACGGTAGTGTCTGCCAAAGCTGTCAGGTGGCTAACACGACAACATGTCAACACTTGTAAAATCCGACGATCCGTTTGGAAAAGCAGTAGTTAACAAGGCAGTGTCAAAAGCTTCAATTCAGTTCCCTTTCATAGGAAGAGCTTCATTTCTAAGCCAGTTTTTCATACGTTTTTGATTTTTGTTTAATTTACTGCGTAATTTGTTTCGTTCTGTCGAGCACTTGAATTTTAAGCGCATACAGGGGGGGCCAATAAAAAAAGACATTTTGTCTCCAGACTCAAATGGATTTAATCACACTTTGCTCAGCTCAAAGCGTGTGCTCCCAACTTAGAATTGAAGAGCGCATTTCATTTCATAAGAAAATCTTCATAGTGGCCATCTACGTGGACGGCATCAGAAAAATTTGCCCCGGAAACATGGTGCTCTGGTCGAGCTCAATGGGGTTCTCGACTGATCGTGTACCGTTACGACGGGTTCCGAAGGGCGGGTTCCGAGGGGTTTGCATAGTTAGAGCTAATGTCCCTAGGAAACTATCCCACGTTGAATCGATCCAAGAAATTATGTAAGAGCTTCAGGCTGAAGCAGTTACTGTAGGCCTCCCTGAGCTCGACGACGTGACAGATGACGTCATATTCTGAAGACGGTGAGGGTAGTGAAGGAGGGCCTGCGTGTACTTATAGAGGGACATTTAGGGAATACTTTGCTGAGGAACTTCCGTCAACGACGGCAATCTCTGCGAAGAAAAAAAGGCCGAAGTGCGACATAGGCAAAATGTCTTTTTTTTTGGCCCCCCTGTATACTGGCCTCAGATCTCCTGTATTTTATAGCAGCCCAAACAACTAATGCAGCATGCCCCTATCCCCTTTCTACTCCAACAAAAGCCCATGAAATATTTCATATTATCAACTGCCTGGAAGCTCCAGCAAATGCAGCTAATTTAGGCAAGTTTCCTTTTGTTGAGAGCACGAAGAACAGTCGTGACAGCATGTCCCCCGTCGGACAACCGACCCTCCTACACTTTTGGAATGGAACGTTTTGTTTGAAGAGCTGAAGTTTTTTTTTAATTCGGCATAGTTCACCACATGGTACTGAAAGCCCCAGAATCAAACTGATGTGGTTCTTGCACACGAATACGAAAATTTTGGTGCAAGACGAGCCCGCAGTGAAGAAAAAAAAGGAAAAAAATGTTCGAAATGACTTTTTCGCTTTCATAATGCGGCGGTGCTAAGGCCAGTGAGAGACTGAGCGCGGAGAGGAGAGTATGAGGCGAGAGAGCGCAACAGATGAGAGGGCGCCAGACAACAGCCTGAAAACATTGCAGCTGCTGCAGCTTACTTTGCAAGGCCCTAGCGCTCTTGTCGGGTGATTTCCGTGCACGGGAACGCCACTTCTGTGATTGTCTGGGTGTCTATCCTACCACGATGGGAATCGTTCACACGACTTCTGCTTGGGTTGTGCCTTTATGCGGAATTTGACTGAAGATTTAGCTTCTTATAACTTGAGAAACCTCATTCAGATCGAAAAAGTTTGTACTAACCATCAGTATATATACCACTGTCTCCGCTATTTAACATTCTCTCAGTTGACTCCCTAAAAGCTCGAAAGCATCAGTTTTCTCCTTCTACTACTATGCTGAACCTTTGTGAACCACTGTACTTATCTCCCGTGATTTTAATAATTTATTATACGTCTATTTTAAACCATTCATCGGAAAGTATTCTCACCGTAATCCCTCTTCTACAGATCCGTTCTCCACGTGTCCATTTCCATTGGGAATGTTGGCAGCTGGTCGCACAGCGACGTTGGCACGGCACGATTCCTGTCCCGCAGAGTTGCTCGCTCTGCACACGTACTCTCCAACGTCGTCGGCTCCCGCTTCGGAGATTGTCAACGTTGCTTTTCCGCCCGAATAGGAAGTAATTAATCGTGGATCTGTCACTCGCTCGCCATTGTGGAGCCATTCAATCAGCGGTGATGGACTTCCATCAACCTGAAAATCATCAGTATCTTTTAAATAGCCCTTTTGGCAGGGAAGACAAAATATTTCAGACGGTAGTGAGCTCACCTCGCAGGACAACATTATTTGCTCTCCGTGATCGACGGTTACGTCTTTGAGCTTAGCGGTGAAGTTTGGTGGTTCAGTAGACACTTTCATCTTGAGATCGTCTGCTGCCGATCGTGTGGACTCGAGGGTGGAGCTGTAGGAGGAACGCGAAGAGGAATACGATGATGATTCCGTCCGGAAATCTGAGTACGATCGCGACTTCTCGACTTCGTTCACTCTCAGCGAATCGTGTACCCTTCTAGTGCGGTATGAAGAGACACGAGGCATTGGTTCTCCTCCTTTCGTCTGCACGGTGACCACACATTCGGAGATGTCCTCTCCCAGTGGGCTCGTCGCTTTGCAAGTGTACGTACCGGCGTCGTCAACTCGTGTGTTAAAGATCTCCAATGTACAAACCCCACTTCGGAATGTGGTTTGTACTCGGTCTTGATCGACAGGCGCTCCGTCTTTGAACCATTCCACTTTGGGAAGCGGGTTCCCTTGCAAAGTACAAATCAGCTTGCATTGATGATTCTTTTGAATCATACGCGGCCGAAGATGGAACGAAAAGTTTGGTCGGATTTCCTTCTCCTTGAACTCTTCAACTTTAGGCGGTGATATTGCCTTTCGCATTGGTTGCAATGGTTCAGATTTGAACTCTTCGCTCTTTCGGTTAACAGTAAGGAAGACAACTTCTTCTTTGGATCCATACGAGTTCTTTGCTCGAACGGTGTACTCGCCTTTGTCGTCCATTTTCACTCTATTGATGGTAAGACCATAGTCGTTGCCATTGTACTTCTTCATATATTTTACGCTCTGTTTCAGTTCATCCGAATCATGGTGCCAGGTTACGATTGGCGGTGACGAGGCGATTACTCTACAGTAGAAGTTTGCACTCTGACCTTCAGTCACCGATGTACTGAACGGTTTGATGATAAACCGTGGCTGAGCTTCAGAACGCTCGAAGAAGGCGTCGTGAATGTGATATTCCGATGGACGGTGTTTTCGAAGTGAACTGAAGTTGGAGATGCGACCAAGTGGCGGCACCGGTTCTGGCCAAGCATCCTGGAAAGCGACCTTTCAGAAACCATATGAAAGATAAGAAGGAAAAGTAACGTACATATTTCTGGCGAATTGAATCACGAATAGAGTGGTATCGGTTGTTTGGAATCACTTCACCTCCGCCAACTTCACCACTTGACAACCATGGATGGTTCAGAGCTTCATGAATTGTCATTCGTCCTCTGAAGAATAATCGAATATTAAAAATCCAACTCATTGATAGATTGCATGTGTTCGCTTATGAGCCACTTACCGTGGTTCTGCAACGAGAAGTTTACGGATGAAATCTTTGGCATTTTCAGAGACTTGGTTGAAGATCGGGTCATCCATGTTCCAGTCGCATTTTTTCACGTTCTTCAGCGTTTCTTCGTCGTTCTCGCCTGCGAACGGTGATAGTCCTGACAGAAGAATGTACGACAGTACTCCGACACTCCACATATCCGTGAAATAGCCGACTGGTTCTCCATTGGCTACTTCAGGTGCGGCGAATTCCGCGGTTCCGGTCGTCACCTGCAAGTGCGAGCTGTTATAAATGTAAAGAAAAGAGCTATTGTGTTTAAGCGAGGCATCTTGAAAGACTGAGAAGTTGCTATGAGCATGAGGAGATCTTCCCCCCCCTCTCGCCCCGCTGTGAAAGCTTATGCAGGATCACCATTTCAATGGCTTCGTCTACTGGACTTCTTCTTTTAGCCTCCAGTTTTTTTTTTTTAAATACGAAGTGCAATGTTGTCACTGTCGTAACACCATCATCCCTCTCACCATTACCCTATCGTAAGAAGTTCTCCCTTCAGAAGGGTAAGTATAGCTGAGCTGGTCGGGAGTAAGTGATTGGGTAGTAGACGTTCGCTGATGACAGGTAAGCTTGAATGAAGCCTGAGAAGTTTTCCGAATTAGTGACAAGGAAGGTAGATCACCATCTTCGCTCTAATTGCAAAAAAATCAAGACAGCTACCTGCTCGAAATTCTTACAACGCTAGTTATCAGGTTAGAATGTAATATGAAGAAAGATTAGAGTAAGTGGGTCACCTTGACGCTCTCCTTGGGGTCGAGATAGGAGCGAGGCCGAAGTCGATCAGCTTCAATTCGTTGCTCTTCTTCGTGGTGAACATGATGTTTTCCGGCTTCAAATCCAGATGGACGTAGTTCATCTCATGCATGTGGCACAACGCCTTGCACACCTGACGCGTGTACTCGATCGCTTCGGCTTCGGTCATTCGATTCGATCATCGGCGACTTTCTCGAACAACTCGCCACCGGACATGCTGGAAAGGCCGAATTTTTCAGCAAAATATCTTTTATTACCAAATATGAACTCATAATCAACCAAAAAACTCACAATTCGTAAATCATAACCATTTCCTTATCGCCTTCAAATGCATCGTGCAGGTTGATAAGGGTTGGATGACGGAGCACGGACATGGTGTTGATTTCTTTACGAACGGTTGCCTTGTCTGCCTCATTCTGAGTGTTCACAAATTTGGCCGCAAAGGTGTTACCAGTTGCGCGTTCGGTGCAACGATGTACCACTCCAAATGCACCACTAAAAATTCTCAACATTTCAAATGAAATCCGAAGTAAACAACAAAAACTACTCACGTTCCGGATCTCCTCATGGATATCATAGTAGTCAAGCACTGGAGAGTGCTTAATTTCAACTTCTTGTGGATAGTACTGCTTCCACACATCGATTACATAGCCGTCGTAGTTGGCCATGGTTGGTCCTTTACCTCGAATGACTTTGCCAGAATCGTCAACGTCGTAGTTCCTTGGTCGTATGCGGTCATCACCCGGGAATCAACACTGGAGTAGTCGGCTCGCACGGTTGAGAAACACCATGCTTGTTCTCGGCACTGACTCGGAACTCGTAGGTCTTCTTGGGGCGACATCCCTCCACAGTAAGACAGGCAAAGCGAGTTTTGGCGCATGGTTCCCAGGCGCCTCCGCTAGTGTCTCTCTTCTCGACAATGTACTGGGTGACTATGGATCCACCGTCAAGATTTGGTGGCTTCCATGAAAGGATTACAGCTTCATCCAACACATTTTCAACTATGGGGAATCGAGGCGGTTCTGGGCAATCGGCCACGGTGACACCCACTGTTGTTGAGTCTTGTCCTACACTATTTTCTACAACCACTCGATATTGACCATAATCCTCTCTTGTGGCATTACTGATGCGCAAAGTGGCGAATTTGTCGTCGGTCGTGATTTCGTAGCGACCACCGCTCTCGATCTTCTCACCTTCTTTGGTCCATCGAGATTCGGCTCGTGGGAAAGCTTTGTATGGGATCTTCAATTCAATCGTTTCGCTCTTCTGAGCTTCGTACCCACCGTGGTAGCGAGGTGGAAGGAACACTCTCGGCTTTGACATAAATAGTAACTGTGCTCTCGTGCTCTTTGTACCGAATTTGTTCGTAGCGCGACATGTGTACTCGTCTGCGTCATCCGGATTCGCGTGGTTGACCATGAGAATCTGCACATCGCCTTTCGAGAGGATCGTGAATCTCGAAGTGTCCACAAGTTCCTTCATGCCTTTGAACCAACTGTACTCCGGTCGTGGAGAACCAGTGATCTTGCACTCGAATGTCGCACTACGTCCTGGTTCAACAGATTGGTCACTCAGTTGGGAAATGATCTCGGGAGGAGTGCCACCACTGGCTGACTTGAATTCCAAATCCCTGAAAATATTTCGTTATTTGGTGTCTTTCTATATAAAATAGCTTACACTTACATTTCAGCGGGATCCGACAATCCAGCGTCGTTAACTGCAAATACACGGAATTTGTACTTCCTTCCGTCGATGAGACTTTGAACGTTGAAAGTGTTAGCCGGCGATGGATTCTGGTTGCATCGAACCCATGTCTGTTCCTTGTCATCTTCACATTTCTCGATGTAGTACCCGCGTATGCGACCTCCACCGTCAGACAACGGTCGATGCCATGTCAACGTCAAGCAGTCATCGCCAACTTCCGCCACTTCCAGATCGGTTGGCGCTCCTGGACGATCGTACGGAAGTCGAGTGACTACTGCGTTTTCTCCCACAAGCGGTACTCCTTGACCATTCTCATTCGCAGCACTCACGCGGAATTCATACTCATGGTTCTCGAATAGCCCTTGTACGGTGAAAGATAAATCGCGAACACTGGACGCGACTACGGTCCAGTCTTCTTTCGCTACGTCTCGCTTCTCTATCACATAGTTGGTAATCTTCGAGCCTCCGTCATTCACTGGTGGACGCCAAGAGAGGCTGACTTGGTGCGTACCAACATTACTGAAGTGTAGCGGTCCTTGCGGAGCTCCAGGAAGTCCGGTGACATTCAGCCAGAATCCTGTTGAAGCCACGCCACTGTCATTACTTATGGTGTACTCGTAGCGGCCGGCTTCGCGGGTTGAGAGCGATGGTATAGTGATGAGGATATGATCGTCAAAGTCGACGGTGCGAATTGTCGGATGATCAGCGACGACCTCCTCTTTGTTCAACGTCAGTGAGTGGTTGAATGGCGGCGTGCCTGAGAAGTAGATCTTCAAGCGGACCATCTCGCCCATTCGGCAATATCGTGTTCGGTACATCTTTCTCGATAATGGGAGGAGCTGAAAAAAGCGATTTCGTTATCGATTTTCTCCCAAGAAGAAACATTCAATAAAAAAAAACAATAATTACCTTGAACGATCAGTTTAGCCGTAGCAGAATCGCTTCCATATACGTTCGACACTTCGCAAGTGTATTCCCCAGCGTCGATATCCCAAACTTCTTTGATTGTGAATTTGTATGTGCCGTCATGTGCCTCGAAGCGATATCGGCTGCTTTCGGGCAGCTCGCGGCCATTCCTGATCCA